TTTGGCGGTCGTCAAGAATCGTATGAAGGTTGTGATTGACCAATAAAGGATTCGTCACTCTTAGATAGTAGGAGATTATGATCTGCATTTCATTCAATTAAGTCGATAACAAAATCCTTGGCCAAAGTGTACTCATAAGTCGAAAAGGAGTTTTCGACTCGTATTGACTTAATAGTGGAGTGAAAGATATGATCGAAATTCGGGATTGACACAATTCCATATCTCGTAATTGATCGGATCATATTGACGAAAGGATTATAGTTTCACGATAAACGAACGAATTTAATTTTGTCATACCACGTGACATTTTCCGTCACATGTATTGCCCTGACACATTGCTAGATGTCAATCAGAGACGGCGAGTGTGAATTGACGATAAATTAAAAGGGTGTTTTAATTTATCAATTTTGATTAGATCAAAATAATATTTCACGTTGTTAGGCAACACGGTCGAGAACCTAATAGGTCGCACACAAAAGAGAATTGGAAGATTGCAAATTGTCAATTGGTTAATTTAACAATCGTTGGATAAATTAATTAATTGGATTTGTTATTTATATTCCCGAATTAATTAATTGGATTAATTAATTCACGGACCAGGTTTAATTAATTGGATTAATTAAATATTGGACCGGACCGAGCTGAGCTCGCTTGGATTTATATAAATACATGGCTGGGGTTTGAGGTCTATATGTTTTTCATTATTCTTGTTGGCACAAGAGATAAAACCCTAGAAGTTGCAATCTTATTCTCTGTGTGGATCACCGTTGGAGGTTGGATAATTAGACAGCTGTGGTGGCGAATCAAGATTGCTGTAACGAGAAGAAAAGCAAAAGATTTGCAGAATTCTTCAAAGGTACAATCTTTATCATGATTTCTATCTAAACACAAAGGGATCCTCGATAGGAATCGAAATAATTTTAATTTTTACTGTGCATGTATAAGTAGATTCCCAACAAAATCTACAAGAAAGAGCACGACTGAACTCGTTGATTTGCAAAAGCGCTAATCCTCCTCGACCTGGTATGGCAAGAGGAAGACGACAAAGGGAGTCAATGAACATCAACCTTTGGGATAAGACTTTTCGAAGTAGATCCTCGTGGTATATGCCCAATCGAGAGTAGAGTTTGGAGGACAAATTTTCTTTTCCTTTTTTTCCCCCTTACTAGGCTGATACACACTTAAAAAAAAATTAATGAATTTGGGGCCCCCTAACTATGCCCCTCGTCCCAATGATGTCAATTCAATTAACATTTGAGGCCTTCACCTTGCACCCTAACACTATAGTTCTTTTGCTTGCCACAATCCTATTTATGAAAAAGTAGGACCATCCAAATGCCAATACTAGCACTAGAAGAGATTCATTCCTTGCTCCCTTACTAATAGGATTGTTTCTCCCTTCACTAAGCTTGCTTAGATTCTTTCCCACTTGAGCCTATCAGAATTTTCCTGTCCACAATCAAGGGGTTAAGTTGGTGACACTACTTTTGTTTTGTTTGGTACGCCTAATCCTAATGAATTTAGAAAGTCAAAATCATTCCACGAAACCTGTTGAAAACTTACAAAGAGTAATTCATATAAATTTAGAGAATGACTAGTTGCATTTGTAGAGAAACGAATGTATCTAGGAAGTTTCATTGTCAATTATGTTAAATAGGCCTTTGAATCATGCTTTATTCATGTATTGCTCCACGTTCCCTAGACGGGAAATAAGGGACTTCCTTGAGCAAAGTGAACGACCTGAATTAGCAAGGATAGTGCTCCAGTGCCACATATCAGGTAGGATTAGTTGGGATCGGCCTTAACACAAGGCAAACAAGGTCACTGCCTGGATCCTCATATTTCAAAGGGCCTCAAAAATAAAAATAAAAAATAACAATAAAGAAGCCCAAAAATCGCCATAGTAAAAAACCCCTCAAATCCCTTTAAAAAAGGAAAAAAGAAAAATAGTACATGCTGATAAGAGTGTAAAGAGGCCGTGAAAAGTGAAATCTATTTCTCTAATAATCTTCACCAAAAATCTATTAATTCCAAATTTTCCACACACAATTGTTGCATCTTGATTCTGTTGAAGGTCTCCAAAAATCTTAAAAAACTCAAGGTAAAAGTTATACTATTGTTTTGTATTTTTTTAATTATTTATTTATGACATGACAAGATATTTTGGTCTCGAGTCTTTGATATTTGAGTACTTTTGATTTTGGGTTGAAAGAGTTTCATTGGAAAAAAGTTGAAAATGTTATAATTGCCTTATTATCAATTAGAACTTTCGAAAATAATGGAGTTTTGTTTGAATAGATTGGGTTTGATTTATTTTATTTTTTTTTTAAAATTTTTATACCCCATAAGAGAGTTTAGAGAAATAATTTGGCGTCGAATTTGAGTTAAATTCGTGAATTTTTTGTTTTTCAGCACTCATTTTTTTAATCAATTCAAGTTTAACTCATATTTTTTTTTTCTCAGTTCTCACCTCTGTTTAGCATTTTTCAAGTGTTTGTAAATGTTGAACTATTTGTGGTTTTTGCTTCTTTAGTGTGGGTGAAGGTGCTATAATGAAGCATAACTTTAATATTCATGTATAGGGAGCAGAAATTTGCATATATTCAGTTGTCTGCTTAGGCGATGATTGGCTTTGCTTTGGCCTCCTTTTCTTTGTACTTAGAGAATGTTCATCCATTTGCTTGGTGTTATCCTTGATTTTATTTGTTTACTGTTTCTTCAAGAACCATGATCTATTCTTCAGTCTTTATCAAAATGTCACTGTGTTATACTGAAATATTGAAGCACCCTAAACCTATTAAAACCATATAAAATAGATAATTCTTCCAACTTTAGATTGGCTAATCTTTGGAGAAACTGTGCTATAGGCATACCTTAAATATAGTTGTAATAGGGCTTCTTGTTTGGTATTCTAATACTGAAAGTAGCAGAGCCAAGGAGGAAAAATTGGTATAGAGATCAATATCATTGCAGTAGAAACCAATATAGAAGTATCACTACGCTTGTTAAAAGATTATGTTTAAGGGCCTCATAATAGTTAAAATGCTTAGAGCCTCGAAGTTCTTAGGGCTGGCCCTGGCATTGGTGGCCATTGTCACAACAGTAGTGCCCTGGTGCTATTACAAATGCCACCCGAAATGTGATATAACTAGATGCTTATTACATTAAAAGGAAGAATCGTGCACCAGACACTCTCCACAGTTTACACAATCAATTTCCAGTCTCTTCAGCTTATTTTTCCAGTAGGCAATTCGACACCGTTGTGGATTACTCTAACCACCACCACCACTCGGAAGGCGTTTCATCTCTAAAATTGTGTAGATAGTTCCACAGCAAATTTCTGTGTCTATCTTCTCATATCTTCATCTATCTATGTAGAATCCATAAAGGAAACATAACCTGTAAAGGTTAAATTATTGATTTCGATTATGCAGTTGACCAATCCCTGATTTTATTTTGGAGTTCTCATTATGAAGCCGGCCCGAGCTGATTTCATGAAGTTCCCTACGGCTGTTTCTTGATACATCCCCCAAAGTTTCAAGTAGGAAGCTCTATCTAACTTTTCATTGGGTTCCAGTTTGGATCTGGGAGTGGCATTCAGTTATCCAAAAGTGAATTTGCTGGATTACATAATTCTATTAATGTAGATGCTTTTGATTCCTTCCTCTTCTACAGAGAGGATGAGTCTACAGATATGTATTATGATGATCTCATTAAGGAAGATTGTGCAATTTTGCAATTGCATTTTGATAATTTGAATATTCCTCATGTGATAGATGCTCTGCTTCTCTGGTTGTCAAGTTCTGCAGGAATTATTGGCTCCATTTCAATTCGAGTATTGACTTATCACAGTGACAATAATTAGGCTCCATAATTTAACAGATTATTAAATTTTGTAGTCACATTTTGATCAAATGGATATTCCACCTAGGATAGAAGTTCCACTTCCCTTGTTGCCAAGTTCTGTAGGAAGTAATGGCTCCATTTCAATTTGCGTACTGACTCGTCACAGTGACAATAATTAAGCTCTACAATTTAACAGATTATTCAATTTTGCAAACACATTTTGATCATATGGATATTCCACCTAGAATAGAGGTTCCACTTCCCTTGTTGCCAAGTTATGATGAAGTAACATGAAGTTAATGAGCACTTCAACCAATTCAAGTTCACAACTTCAATTGAAAATAACTCTGATCTCCACTACTCGAAGAATGGTTCATCTATGAAACGAGTGAGCTCACCTTAGTCCGATGCCCATCTCCATGAATTAATTTTTTTGCATATACTCGTATGCCTGTCATTTAACATCTTTAGTAATAGATATAGATATCAAAGAGTAGGACAAAGGTAGTACAGGAGGAATGGAAGATCTTGAACAATTTATGATGATATATGAGCAAAAATTAGTTCTAGTTTAGGATGTACCAACATTATATCGAGAACAATAGGTGACATGTTCAAATTATTTTTTGATTTAATATCATTGAACACGTCAATACATTATCAACACGTCAAGACAGACATTGTATTGAACAATGACACGACATCGACACATCGTTGACCCGTGTCATAAATGTCAAGTAACATGTCTAATTTAGCTATTGTTTGTCTTTCATTAAATCAATTTTTTTTATCAAACTCATTTTCAATCATCCAATCATACAATAATATAATTTGAACATAAATTAAATTTTTTTACTTTTTAATCACAAATTGTTTGAAAATTCACTATTTTAAAATATATTTTTCGCAAAAAAACACAAATATAGGCTGGTTAAAATTAGTTCGAGTCAACACAAGATGTTGGTGGGCCCTATTTCTGCCCTTCGGCCTTTTGAAAAAAGGCACAGAAATGTTTATCCTTTTGTTCATACGTGGCATACATAGAGAAAGGGGACCCAATCCCCAAGCTCCTCCAAAGTCCAAACCGGTTTACACGATTGAGGCCTCCACCAATGGCACAATAGTAAATAAACAAAGTTAAAGGGCTTAATATTAAACACAGTGGCGTTGCAACCTACGAACGCCGATCCGACTCATCCGAGCTATATAACGCATAACTTGACTGACTGGGTGAGACTGACTGGGTGCGAACTCAGAGGGCAAGGGCAAAATATAGTCAAGAAAATCACACACTTGATCTCTCTCCAAAAATTATACGGAAAGTTTCGCAGCAAATCTTTTGTACACATATCATCTATATACAATCTGTTAAGGAAACGGAAACTGGAAGGTTGTAATTGTTGATTTCAATTTTCCAAACCGAAAAGATGAGCCGTCACTGAGAAGAAAAAGGTGTCATTCGACCAAACCGAACCCTAATTTTTTATTTTTTATTTTTTTGAGTTCTTTAAGCCAGCACGAGCTGATTTCATGGAGTCCCCTACGCCTGTTTCTCGATACATCCCCCAGAATTCCAAGTAGTAATATTTTCTGTTACGTGATTTGGTGTATGTGTTTGTATGAAGCGTTTATGGGTGGTGGATTTTTGATGGGTGCAGGAAAAGGGTGTTCCCCGGAGGGAGTTCTAACGGGTGTAAAGAAGCGGATGTGGTGGAAATCTCGCAGCCGATTAACCGTGCTTCGAAAACCAAGCTATTGAAGCAAAAAGAGGTTAAAGAACGATTTTTTATTTTTATTTTTATTATTTTTTTAAATATTTTGACGAAATTTTATTTTGTCTTAAGTTATGCACTGTATTCTGGTGAGTAATTGGGTATAGATTTTCTTCTATTTTCCCTTTTTGGAGTTGGGGCAAGGGGCTGAGTGTTTAAAGTGATTGGATTGGTCGATTACTTCTGTTCTTTTTTGGGGATTTTTTTTCTTGAAACTGGTAAACTCAGAATTGCATTGAGAAGAATGGAATTGGAAGCCTTGGAAAGAGGATGATGAATTATTTCCTTGAAATTTTTATAACTCTGTTTCGCGTTTTTATTCGAATTATAGGTTTATTTCTGAGTTTTCTATTGCATTGTTTTCTTAACTGCAATTTTATTTTTTATTTTTATTTTTTTCTTCATGGCTATTACTATAACGTAATGAACAGAAACATATGAAATTTTATGTTTGTGATGCCCTTTCTGCATTTTCTATAAAATATCTTATTTTTCATGGTGATGTAACCTTAAATATGGGAATCCGAGCCTCAAATTTCTATATTGGAGAAGGAAGGACACATCTGTCAAGTAATATTGAAGAGTTCCCTACCTGACTGTTTAGAAGTAAAAGTGGTGAGCGGTTGTACATGTTGACATTTTTGCAGTCAAGATGAAGGCATACTATCTTATCTATGCCATTGGGAGCATTAAAATTGAATGGAATAAGTCCAAACATAGAATTGACGATGATATAACATACAAAGAAAGCTTTGAAAATGCTAGAGGGTAAATTATAAACAAACATTAACATTTGTGTGAATGCTAAACAACCTGTACATATTCACTTTTTACTCAAAAGGTATGTAATTTGCTGAATACACTATTTTTTATCGTAACGAGACTAAAAGATCTTACAAGATCTGTTCTTTTCTTTTCAGTTCTGTCCTCTGTGGTGCTGGTTGTTATTTAGAAAGTCTATGGAGGTCATATTAGATGTGCTATGTGGATTGATAAAAATGTGTATCATTCGCCATTTTCAGCTTAACGTTACGGTTGCTGCAGTTAATGTTTAGGTCTGTTACTCCATATCTACTGTCCAAGAGGATTTCATAGTAATTGTTCTGTACTTCTTTCTAGCAACAACAAATAATTGCTTTCAACTGGAAGTGGAGTTCTAGATTTTGGTGCTCCTTTATTTTGTTCAGTTTAACCAGTAAAAATATGGTGGGCAAAGTGTCAAATTTAAAGAGTGGGTGACAAGTAGGAGATATTGGTATCTTTTTTCCCCATCATTTGAATGGACTAACTGTTGTGCAGCAAACATTCCCACAGAAAAAATCTTGTATTTAGCCCCAGTTTGGCCCCATTTTGTGGAGATGAAAATGGGTACAATAGTGTTTTTTTGAAAAATGAGTGGTTGAAAAAGAAAGAAATTTTTTTGATTTACGTATAATATTATTTTATGGAAGATTGTGTGGTTGAAAATAGAAGAGAGAAAAATGAAATGGAAATTAATGAGGGCCAAACGGGGGCTTAAATCCATTTTCTGGTTAATGGTACTATAACTTGTTGCCTGAACTAGAAGAACTATGAAATAGTCAATGTGTTTGCCTTTTACTTTGATTGGCTCTGAGATAGACTTTAGCATTAGTACGATCCTTGTTGTTAATAATTCCTTTTAATTTCACATTTCTTGGGTTATTTTTATTATTTCTTTTTCTGTTGTTGTGCTTAATTCTACTCTTTTGATGCATACTAATTTTTATAAATCGAATTTCTTGTAGGTTATTTGTGATGAAATAATAGATGTAGACATGGATGAAGACTGGGATGTGCTGATAGACGGGCAAGTTGACACAATTGGCAAAGGCAAGGTAATTAAGAGTTCTCACTAACTGTTATTGCATTGTGGTTAGAATCATCAGCCTCCGAGCTGATTTTGTTTTGTTTATGTTGTTCTTTTCAGTTTTTTATTGGTAATTATGCACCTTTTTTATTTTATTTTTTTATTATATATATATATATATAGGAAGCTCTGTCTGACTGTTTGGGTCCTAGTAGTATAGCCACTGGTGTATCTGGGAATGGCATTCAGTTGTCCAACAATGGCTCTGCTGGATTACATAATTCTAGTAATGTAGATGATTTCAATTCCTCTCTCTTATACGGAGAAGATGAGTGTATAGATATGTATTATGATGACCTCATTGAGGAAGATTATGCAATTTTGCAATCACATTTTGATCATATGGATATTCCTCCTGGGATAGAGGCTCCGCTTCCTTGGTTGCCAAGTTCTGCAGGAAATAACATGAAGTTAATGGCCCCAGGCACTTCAACCAATTCAAGTTCACAACCTCAGTTGAATGATGCCAATCTTCCTGCCACAAATTTCTCTCACCCATCACGGAATACTAAAACTGTTGTAATAAAGGATCAATCAACTTCACGGAACAGTACGCAGTTTGGTACCCAAGTGCATGCAGTTAGTCAACCTGTGGATTTGAATCTGCCTTCAACTATGTGGGAACCAGCTCTAGATCAAGATAAATTGAACACTTCAAGCAGTACAGCTTATCATATTTCAGAAATCTCAAGTAGTTTGTTGAATCTTAAACATGAGAAGGACTCTTTGTGCTCTTTTAGAAAAAATAGGAGGAGGTCTCATCTACTACCCCCACCACCTGTTCTCTACAGTCCACACAATCAATTTCCTGCCAGTTCAACGCATTTTTCGAGTAGTGTGAAGACGCAAGTTGGTAATGATTGTAGCTATCCAAAATTAAATCCAATGAACACACCTGGTGCTGGAACTTCTGTGCCAGTGCTATCGTGGAAGAAATGCAATATGAATATGTTCGAACCACTTCCTCCTGGATTTATTGGTGGAAGCTCATCTGCCCTGTGGGGACATGATCCTGCCAAGAACCAAAGTAATTCATTTCCTGTAGCAACTCCAGAACCACTCACCTATGTGGAGAATAGGAATATGGATGAAATTCTTCAAAGTTTCGATCTTTTTAAGCAATTTGACACTGTTGAAAATTACTCTGACCACCACTACTCGAAAAATTGTTCATCTATGCAACAGGCAAGCTCACCTTTAACGGATGCATATTATTCCGTCTGCATGTATTGTCTATAGTTTTATTTTTTGCTTATATTCATATGCCTTCATACAAACATCTTTAAATATTTGATTAGCCGTCGAAGGGTTGGACAAAGAGAATACAAGAGGAATGGAAGATCCTGGAGAAAGATCTGCCTGGTAAGTTTTTCTGAAATCTAGGATCAAATTATGATGATATATTAGGAAAAATTAGCTCTAGTCTCTTTACATTTTTTGAACTTATGGTGTTACCATCATTTTGCTAAGCTTGTTAGAATGAGTACATACGTCACCTTCTATTTTACTATTGCCACTCTGTCAGATACAATACTTGTGCGGGTCTACGAATCCAGAATGGATCTTTTGAGGGCTGTAATAATAGGAGCAGAGGGAACTCCATACCATGATGGTCTCTTTTTCTTCGACGTCCTCTTTCCTGGAAGCTATCCTAATGTTCCACCTGTATGTTTCTAATATTTTTGTGTCCATCTGCTTGTACACCTCTGAATATGTCAATACGTTGTCTGGTATTGAGGCTTTATCACTTGTTGCAGCTTGTCCATTACCACTCTGGTGGCCTTCGCATCAATCCAAACTTGTACGGTTGTGGCAAAGTATGCCTGAGCCTTCTCAACACTTGGGGTGGTAGCCAGAAGGAAAAGTGGATCCCTGGTGTATCAACCATGCTGCAAGTTTTGGTCTCTATACAAGGCCTAATTTTGAATGCTAAGCCCTATTTTAATGAGCCCGGATATGCGAATACGAGTGGTTCAGTAAGTGGAGAAAAGTGTTCCCTGGCTTACAATGAGAAGACTTATATCCATTCTCTCCAGACGATGGTGTACAGTATGAGGCGACCACCTAAGGCAAGATGAAAACTAGATTCTCTCTATGAACTCCCTTGATTATTGGGACTTTTGATCCCTGCATATTTTGGTGGTTAATTTCAATTTGTTCTTTCCTTTTTGGTGATGACTTCATTATACTGATTTGATTTTTGTTCTGCTCATAGCATTTCGAGGACTTTGTGATAGGGCATTTCTGCAAACGTGCTCGTGATATTCTGGTTGCATGTAGAGCCTATATGGAAGGCGCTCAAGTGGGTTGTCTTGTCAAAGGGGGCGTTCAAGATGTTGACGAGGGTGACAAGAGCTGCTCCCTGGATTTTAAGGCCAAGTTGGCAGGGTTCATCACTACACTCGTAAATGCATTTTCTCAAATTGGCGTGAAGGATTGTCAAGAGTTCCTTTGTTTGGCTCAAAAGGCTAATGAACAAGTTTCTGCTCTACCTGGGGTCCAAAACTTTCACTATTAGGTCAATTAAATTACAATTGAGACTTGCGCAATGAATTCTGCATGCAAGATATGCTCGTCTTGAATTTTTTTTTCGATTGCTTGGGATGTATTTAAAGTTACGAAGCAGTGAATGTTAATGAATTCAGGATGCTCATTTGAGTAAATTTAATGTCATAATGTGGATATAACTTGAATTGTGTTTATCCTTTTATGATTTATTTTCCTAGATGCTGTAATATACAGTTGCCTTGTTATTCAAATTTTCGGACGGGGAAAAGATGATAAGTCCAAGGAGAATAAGTAATTGGAATGAATCTACTGTCGACGAAAAATTCAGAATGTTTTTATCATTTGCTTGATGACTTTCAGGAATATATACGGATTTAGTGCTTTTTTTCTTTGATGCATCTTTGTTAAATTTTATAAACGTCGAACTTTAATTTTAACTACAGATTTTACTAGATATGCAACTTTTAAATTTGCTTATTAGAAAATTACGAGTCAACAAAATAAAAATAAAAATAAAAATAAAAATAAAAATCCCTTATAGGATAAGCTGATTAGAGCAATACGAGAATAGCTGTCTTGATTCCTTCCCGTTGATCCAGTTGATGATGAATCCCATATAGTGGTGACAACTTCCAGGAAAATAGCCTCGNAATAGCTGTCTTGATTCCTTCCCGTTGATCCAGTTGATGATGAATCCCATATAGTGGTGACAACTTCCAGGAAAATAGCCTCGGAGAAAAAATGCAAGTGGACTTGAACAATGAAGTGCTAATTAAACAGATACTATGTGAAAAAGTGCAGTGATAAGTGGAAGAATTTTAGTGTATAAATTACTTCTTTGTTTTTTAGTCCTGATAAATTTTGTTGTGGCGATGAATTCTTGGTTTACTATGTTTTCTCCGTTGTTTAATATTTTCCTGTTCTTTTTTCTTACCAGTCTGTGTGAAACTTTAGATTCTTCTTCTAAGAGTACTACGAAATCATATACTGATCACTTTGCATCCATAGTCCCGGAATCCAGTCCAACGGTTCGTTTCCATGATAAGTATGCAGTTCCATTCGGTAAAGGCTACTACACGGGTGGTGAGAGACTTGTAGGCAGGAATCTGATACTGTTGGAAGTTATCTTCGATTTTGACCCACCCGGAATGTCTATAAAACTGTTGCCAATGGTTTTTATAAACTTGAGGCTCACTTACATATCCGGTCGCCATACTGGTATAATGTTAATGGAAGCGATTCCATGTACAGATCTCATTATCATAGACCTGTTAGTAGGTCGGGCACTATCATATTTTTGTCGAATGGGTTCTGCTCAGAGGTTTCGAGGAAGCTCTGCATGGTGGGATCGGCTTCTTGGCAATCTGTAGAAAGTAACTTTCTGAGTCTTGATGGTGTTCTCAAACTCGAGTCTGCCATGAAGAATTCGAATGTCTTTACTAGTTGGTCAGTGGTACTTTTGAGCCCATAAATCTCTCTAATGACTTGGGATATTTTGAATCAAATTAGATATATGATTTCCCTTATCTGCCCAATTATAGTTACTCTTTGGTTACACAAGAAGTTGTTGGAGAGTGCTACGGGGATGCTGATGTCCCGCAAAACCAGTCTGTAAGCCTGGAGTCGAGGGATTTTTGCTCTATTTTCCCCACAGGAGACGGATCCGTCTCTGTTGAATTGGAGTATGCTACTGAGTGCAAAACATCCCCAAATTGTACTCCTTTTGTTTGGGTGGGTGTGTGTGTGTGTGGGGGGGGGGGGGGGGGGGATAATAAGGTGTGGGGAGACAAAATTAGCAACGGCCGTCAATATGTCTCATTAAAGTCAAGGGGGGGGGGTAGACAATACTTGCCTAGGTTTATGCACTTGCAAATTATCTAGTGTTCAGGATATGACGAAGCGCTAAGATGCATGGTAAAATTTGAAAATAGTATTTACTCCGAATTTTCTGGGCAGATTGATCTGAATCCAACTTTGATTGGGGAGGGATCTCAGCATGTGAATATTAATATGCTATGTCTTGTTGCCTGCGGAATCTTAAACCTGTCTAATCATTGGGCAAAAGAAGTCGGGGATTGTACAACGAGGTTGAGCTTGAGGTACCCTTCAATCTGGTCGATCAGAAACAACTCGAACCTAGTTGGGCAAGTCTGGACCAACAAAACTGTTAACGTATCAGGGCATTTCAGAAAGATCATGTTCAGAAGTTGGGAAAATGGCGCAGCTTTGCTCCCGGGATTGAATAGGAGTACACTGAACTTGATTAAGAAAGTCGTGCTCAGTGAAAAGGGCTATGAGAATGGAGGCATTCTTATGATATGAGGTTTGATATGTCTGTAACTCACTTGAAAACACAATTCGCTTGGGGAAATGCTATACCCCTCTTTGTTGGGAATGAAATCTATCAACAATTAGGTGTGCCCCTTGGGGCATAACCCAATGGTGCAATGAACATGAGTGAGATCAAGGGCGGACGCAAACATTTTAGACTAGGGGGTCAGTAACGAACTTTTAAAAAAGTGATGAAAAAATTAAAATAAGATATATCTTATTACAGTTGCTTTTTACGTGTTCTCATACTTTGATAACGTTCAATAATTACATCATTTTCAATCTTATCAAAAACATCTTTCTCAATATATGCAATCAAATTATCATTCAACCATTGATCTCCAATTCGATTGCGCAGACGATTTTTGACGTAAGTCATCGCAGAAAATGCTCTCTCGATTGTAGCAGTAGCTACGGGAAGAACCAAGGTTAGTGTCACAAGTTTGTAGACTAATGGATATACTTCATGTTTATTCTTCACAACCAACTTCTGTGCAAGATCGCTAATGCCTTGTAATTTTTCAAAGTCTTCAGAAGTGCGCATATCAAGAATAAATGTATCTAGTTGATCATCAAGTTCTAGAATATCTGCTGCATCAAAATCTACCCTATAATACTGACATAGTCGAATCAATTTGATCTTGTCAAAAGCAGCAAATGAATTATTTGGAGATAAATACGCAACACAAATAAGCAAGTCACTATTTACTTCAGAAAAACGATCATTCAACTCTTGAAGTTGCATATCAATGACGGCATAAAACATTTCCACACGAAAATGATGCAAATTTGTCACTGTCTCACGCCGTGAACGACCTACAGTTATGAACATATCATCCATATCGGGAACATTGATCTTGTGAGTTTTACAAAACGAACAAATCACTCCCAAAAAGGAATCCCATCCATCATCTCTCATGGTTTGGAGTTGTGTTTTACATATTTGCACCAATTTCATAGCATTGACAATATCTTGATCTTTTCTTTGTAATGCTTTTGACAATTCGTTTGAAATCCCTAAAATCTTTTTCATGAGATATAGATTAAATGCAAATTCAAATCTTAACATTAACTTCAATGAAATGCATGCATCACCTCTTGTTCCGGTACTTGTAGAATCAATAGCAATCATCTCAATGACGTCGACTATAGTTGAAAACATGGTAATCAAGTTAATTAAACAACTATAGTGAGAGCCCCAACGTGTATCCCCAGGACGCTGAAGAATAATTTCTTGATTGAGACCTCGTCCGCTTGATATTTCACCAATACTGAGTGATTCAAGAATTTTCAATCTTTGATTCTCTCGAATAAGATCACTCCGTTTAGCGGATCCTCCAACAATATTCACCAATCTATGTACTGTAGTGAAGAAAGTTTTAATCTTCGGATATTTCTGTGCCACAGCTACAAGAGCTAATTGCAGTTGATGAGTAAAGCAATGAATGTAGTAAGCACTTGGATTTTCTTTCAAAATAAGTGCTTTGAGGCCATTATACTCTTCTCGCATGTTACTAGCTCCATCATATCTCTGGCCTCTCAAATTAGATATGCTTAAACTACGCGTTGAGAATAATTGATCAATTGCAGCCTTAAGTGAGGCAGTTGTGGTATTCAAAACATGAATGACATCAATAAAATGTTCCAATATACACCCATTCTTCACATAACGAATGACAACTGACATTTGCTCTTTCACAGAAATGTCTCGAGATTCATCAACTAAAATTGAGAAGAAACTATCACGAATATTTTCGATAATCACATGTAGACATTCAGAAGCAATAGCACTTACAATATCTTTTTGCACTCTTGGTGATGTTAATTTCAAATTTTCAGGTGCATTTGTCAAAGCAACGGCCTTAATCTTGGGATTATGATCACACAACCAATGCAATAGTTCAAGAATGTTTCCTTGATTGTTTAAATCTTCAGATTCATCATGTCCACGAAATGCCATCCCTTGTCGTAGAAGAAATCGAACACAATCAATTGAAGCATTTAATCAGATTCGATAATTTGTTCGAGTTTGATGCGATTGTTTAACGACACAAGATCGAATACTTTGTTCTTGATTGTTGAACAATTCATATTTGACCCGAGCTTGATTGTGTGCACTACTTGAAGCCCCCAACGTGTTTTCTTATATATTCTTTCTTTTTCCAATTTGAGAATCCGCCTTTAACAAATAAACCATCATTGAAATCGAAAAGATAACAATAAAAGCAAAAAATTGCATCCTTTGCTATACTGTATTCCAACCAAGTGGGATGCTCATTATACCACGAAATACAAAATCGTCGGTCTATTTTACCTATTCTTGTGGGTGGAAATATATGATTGCGAGGTTGACAAGGACCTCTTTGCATATATGCTCTTTGAATCACATCTCGAATATTAACATCATAATTCTGTATTGGAACTCTCAATCCAGGATCAGAGGGAAGCTGTGCAACATCAATATCCCCAACATCTCCAATATCCTCAACATTTCCTCCACTATCCCCAACATCTCCAATATCCTCAACATTTCCAATGTCTCCAATACCCCCAAATCCAACATCAACATCTCCAACGTCTCCAATACCCCCAACATCTCCAACATCAACATCAACATCAACATCCCCAACATCGTTTTCATCCCTTTTCTTTCGAACATTCCTTTCGCCGATATTTTGTTCATCACAGGAAATCGTAGATGTACGTTTAAAGTATTTTTCCATAACTGAAACAAATCAAACAAAAATGAAAAATCAACAAGATTAGAAATGCCTAAATCAGTTTATACTATTTCCTACCTACCAAAAGTCAGACAAAATTTCAATCTTCCCAAATCAATATTATCAATAATCAATTTACATATAAATAAGTAACAAAGCCCTAAATCAGAAAAAGGTCAATTTCCTAAATCAAAGTCCTAAATCAGAAATCCCTAAATTACATTTATTGGGCAGGAACATGAATCATAATTGGTTAATTGTACTGTAAATAAATCCAAATTTAGAAATAGGAACTAACCACACGTAGAGCTAGGCAGGCAGCAGAGCAGTTAACTTACGGTTATGGTCACTTATGGAGAAGAATTCAAAGAAAAAATTTGAGTAAGTGATAAGTCTGTAAGTGTAAAGCTTCTAACCTTCAAGTCAGTAGAACTGGAGTCCGCCCTTGACTGATTGCCGAAGAGATTGACGGGTTGCCGGCACTGGCGTCGCCTGTTGCTGTTGCAGTCGCAATCGCAGTCGCATGGAGGCGTTCCAGGTGGAGGCAGTCAGGGTCAGGCAGAAATGACTGGCTGCAGAGGCGGGGACGGAGCGGTGGCCGATGGGTGAGTGCTCTGTGATGTGCTTCAATGGTGGGAGACTGGGAGTCACTGTGCGGTTTGTGTGAGAGACGAGAGTCGAGAGAGAGATATACTGTTGAAACAGTCAAGCAGGGAAGAAATTGTGTGAGTTTTGACTATTTTGATTTTTGACCTAGTAATTTATTTATTAAAAAAAAAAACCTTAAAACTAGGGGGTCAATTGACCCTACATGCCCCCCCAGTAAGTGAGATAGTCTAAGCCTTGCTGGTAGCAATAGTGTGAGGGTTCAATTCCTGAGATGTGGAATTGAACTCTGTGGACATCAGTGTACGGACAAACTCTTGTTCTCTAATCTATTGGGGCACATTCTACTATTTACCTTCCTCACGATTCTCTAGGGACGGGGTGGTGGGAGTCCTCAAGGTTGGAGCTCAACAAATTTTTTTTTTATAAAACAATTAGGTGCGCTTTTTATCGTTTCAGAGTCTGATATTGGGTACGAGACAATTGCTAAAGCTGACATGAAAACCAATGCCCCCTTGAATATCAGCTATAAGTTTAGCTCTAGCCCATCTTAGGTGGCAAACTTGGGGCTGTTGGTTTTCGCCTCTCAAATTATCTATGAACCCCTAAGGTCAAATTGAGATTACTGCAGAAAGGATGTATGAGGAGGAAATAGGACACCTCTGCATGCTGGGCTACAAAAAATTGAGTTCATCCAGTCAAGAATCAAGAAAATGTGAATTTCTAGTGAATTTGTTACGAATAAATTATCACGTATGATATTTTTTACTTATGAAATAAGTAGTTAATCTTACAAGTTAAAATGTGGTGACTCTTAAATGAACATACAGATATTTTGTTATAGAACAAAATATTGGAGACTTGCTTGGAAGATTTTATATGGATAACTATCTGAGTACCAGTGGTTAATCTCTAACGTTTGATAGTGAAATTTGTTCGACTTGAGGTTATCATAATGCATTATATATGGAATTGGTCTTTTGATTTGAGTTTATCATAATATTTTGTAAAATTTTGAAGAAATAATTTGCTTTTGTTTCCATAATCTCATTCTCTATTTTGTCTCTTTACTTGGTTGAAATTGTCATTATATATTCGTCACTCTTTTGATACTTCTCGTAGTATAAAAATATTCATCGCTCCATAATAAAAACAATTTCAACTCGTTATTAAATTAGTTATTTGAATGACTGTAGATTTTGACTACGGAAGCCATCTAATTTGAACTTTAAATTTGAGTAAAAAGATAATTGTTCTCCCTTAAAATAAATAAAAAAAACAAGAGAAAAAAAGGAAAAAGAATAATAAATAATCAAATTTACTATCCAAGAATGAAGAATAATAAAGAGATCCTCTTCTTCCTTCACTCCAACTACGAAAAGCAACTATCAAAAAAGTTAAAAGCCGCTTCTTAAATTAAGGAGCTACTTAAAAATATGTATAAATAATTTTTTGAAAGTGTTTTATTTGATTAGAAGAATTTCAATTTTGACAAAAGTAATTTTTTCAAAAAACTTCTCTTCAAAATATAAAAATAAAAATTAAAAATAGAAATTCTACCAAATGAACGCTCTTAAGAGAGTACGTTGATTCAGGCCAAGTTTTTAACAGATTTCCTGGATGCATTATGAAGAAACAAGGAGGCAAAGAATCAGAAGGCAATATATGGTTGATTGCTGGAATCTCAGTACGGGTTCCTTTGAAATCGACATCTACGAAGCCTAAAGAACATAGGCGGATACAGGCATGGGCTGGACCGAGCTACAGCCTGTGCCCGCCCATGCCCAGATCCAATAAGTCTTCCTCTTTATTTTTTTATTTTTTTGTTCAGCCTATGTAAATTGAGTGACCAGCCCGTGTCCAGCAAAAAATTTAGCCCGTGTCCAAAGAAAAAAAATGTGTAAGCCTAATTTAACATAATAAGTAAATGATCCATTGGCCCAAACATACCACCAAATCTACCATTCATTTAAACCCAAATTAAACCTAATTATAAATTCTAACCCAAATGGGTGTGGGGTTACTTTATTTTTTCTTGCTGAGAAGATTATTTTTTGATGTGATTTTATTGCATTCTTCCTTTTTTTCTGTCAATCTCAATCTCAAGCTTTTTGTTTTTATTGATTTCTTGTAAATTTTCTTTATGGCTATCGTTTTCTTTTGATGTGATTGCGAATTTAAACATGTCTACTGTATCTGAGAGTTTGTGCGCTAAAAAAATTATGAACCTCTATTGACCATGAACATTACCCTGATGAGATTTATGTACGAAGGTTATTTTAGTTTGTAAAATTTTGAAGAAATAATTTGCTTTTGTTTCCATAATCTCATTCTCTATTTTGTCTCTTTACTTGGTTGAAATTGTCGTTATATGTTCGTGACTCTTTTGATACTTCTCGTAGTATAAAAATATTCATCGCTTCATAATAAAATCAATTTCAAGTCGTTATTAGATTAGTTATTTGAATGACTGTAGATTTTGACTACTGAAATCATCTAATTTGAACTTTAAATTTGAGTAAAAAAATAATTGTTCTCCCTTAAAATAAATAAAAAAAACAAGAGAAAAAAAAGAAAAAGAGTAATAAATAATCAAATTCACTATCCAAGAATGAAGGATAATAAAGAGATCCTCCTCTTCCTTCACTCCAACTACGAAAAGCAACCATCAAAAAAGTTAAAAGCCGCTTCTTGAATTAAGGAGCTACTTAAAAACATGTATAAATAATTTTTTGAAAGTATTTTATTTGATTAAAAGAATTTCAATTTTTGACAAAAGTAATTTTTTCAAAAAACTTCTCTTCAAAATATAAAAATTAAAAATTAAAAACAGAAATTCTACCAAATGAACGCTCTTAAGAGAGTACGTTGATTCAGGCCAAGTTCTTGGGCAAAAGTGAGCCCACTTAACATAAAACCCAACAAATTATATGGGCACAGTCTAAAACGACATGACAATTGGCCCAATACGTTATATATATCCAATAGGCCCCAAACTCGCACACCGTTAATAAAGATTAACGATACAATTTCTCTCTCTAGGGTTTTTTTTTTCCCATTTTTCTCGCTCGCACAAAAAAAAGATTCAATCAACTGGATTTAGACTACCAATAATTTGCAATCAAAGCAGAAAGCGAAATGGATCTAGAGTTGGTGGGACGCCATGCGCTTCTTTTTGATGACGACGCCACGGCGTCGTTCGTGAATTCCGGTGACGCCCTCGTTGATTGGCACTCCCTCCAAATTGACCGGTATGACGTCCGTCACTTACTCACCGCTCCGCCGCCGCCCCGCCGCCGGAGTCGCAATTCCCAACCTCTTTTCTCTGATGACCCTTTCTTTGAATCTCAACTCGATCATGAGCGATATCTTGATCTCCCTCCTACTCCTGATCAATCAGGTATAATGAAAATTCCTAACTTTCAATTGAGCTTGTAATGTTTTTGCTTCTTTATTAATTGTTTTTAAGGCGTCAAAAGTGCTATTTATTTTCTTGAAGAGATAATTATTTAGGGGGAGCTTGGGGGAGGGGGTTGCCGAGACCCTTTTTGGTGAAATGTGTTATTGAAAAAATTTCAACTAAGCACCAAAATGAAAATGACGAGTGACAATTTTTTTCTCAACCTTATCAAGGAGACACTGAATGACACGAAGAAACCCAGACCTTCCTGATGTCTGCTATATTAGCAGATAACTCTCCAGTTGTGAATATTGAACTTCATATGTTGCCTTTAACTATTGTTAATATCTATTACGAGCTTTGGTAGAATATATGGTGCCACGATCTGAATCCATTTTATCAATTTTCTCCGAGACGATGATAGAATTTTTTTTTAAGTGAAAGCTATTCGTTTTGTCTGTCAGACAAAAAGCTGACATAGGTGTTATGGGTAGAATTTTCCCAACTTCTGGGGAATTGAATGGATTTTGCACCCCCCTATTATATGCGGGCCTTTGTTAAGAAAAAGCAACCCTTATTAGTTTGTTCTATAAAGAAAAAGAATTGCGGAGAAGGATGCAATTTACAGCTAATAAAGCTACTAATAATGAAAATGGAAAATTGCGTAGAGATTGTGATTTTGGAGGCAGTGTTGTTGTTGGGGTGAAATAAATTTATTTTGAAGTCTCCTTAAAAAACAGGGTAGTCCAAAGGAAGGATCGAGTAACTTTCTAGTTTGTGCTGGTATGTACTTCTCTGCAATATGCTTTTGAGTTTGCAGGAGGGCTGTAAACTATGTTGCTTCTTCCATTTACAAGTAAGATTTCTATATCTATTTTCTTGAAATTTTCTTCCTATATTTTGATTGTATGTTTAAATGGTTCTCTGAACTTAGGTTTCTTCTTTTAGTGTTTAATTGGTCATGTCAATATTATTCAAAATGTCTTTTGTCCAGAGTTACAAGAGTTTGAAAAGCCAACAAATACTGGTGGTTACCGCGCTGTTGCCTTCTCTTATGGAAGCACTGATGATTCTGCTGACCAAAGGAATGCTGATGCTGGGTTGGAATCCTCTAGATTTTGTCCTTCCTTCCCTGTTCCTGATAACCTTTCTCAAAGCTTGGTAAGTTTGGGGTTTTCAGCCTAAGGATTTTGAGTAATTCGATATGTCCTTGATCTTTTTCTTGCTTGCTGACTGGATTTCTCCAAGATGGCCAACTAATAATTGTCTAAGGTGCATATGTTATCTAAGGCTCATCATGTCTGAGTTTTCAGATTCTCGGAGCAGGGACTGACTTGTGACCTAAGGTTGCCATACACAGGCACTTTCTTTCGTTTGTTGTCATGACATAACGCCGTGCAGGTGGGATTAGGATAGAAATTTTCTTTATGATGACTATCAGTTTGCCACTTGAGAGGGCATTTGTTATGTATATGATCTGTAGGGCTCTGGTTATTGTGGTATGATTATTCTAGCTTGTTATTTCAATAGCTTAATGTCTTAATTAATACTTTGCAAATTTTAACTTTGACATATTGTTGAGAAGTTTAGAGATTCTAATATTTGATGGAGTTCTCTTTTCTTTCTTTCTTGCTTTGTGCCTCTTTTTTCAGCCTCCAACAGAGAAGCTACATCAGATAATTTCGAGGACTGCCACGTTTGTCAGCAGGCATGGCAGTCAGTCAGAGATTGTTCTGCGGGTGAAACAGGGAGATAATCCGATCTTTGGGTTCTTGATGCCTGACCATCGTCTTCATGCTTACTTCAGATATCTTGTTGACCACCCAGAACTTTTGCATTCTGACATTGATGGAAATTCTCAAAATGAGGGTAGAAAGGCTGGCAGTGAGCACAATGATCTGGACAGCATAGGAGGGGGAGCGTTGTCCCTGCTTGGATCTGTATATGGGTCTGGGGAGGAAGAGGACGGTGAAGATAATGCAGGAGCTTCTGGGGAACCTGCTAGTGCTGTTGATAAAACCATTTCTTGTGGGTTGGAGAAGATAGAATCAAGTGCAGATGCAGCTGACAAGTATGGGGCAGTATCGAAGAACCCGCTTTCTAATAAATCTAATGTGCTTGCAGTGAAGAAGAATTCTTTGATTGGTGCTTCTAAGGCTGGAAGTGCTGGTGGCACTAAGAAGAAAGTTGACTCTGCTTCATCCTCTATAGCTGCAGAGAAGTCAAAGGGTTCTGCTTTAGGAGTGACCCCTAAGGTGGAACCTTTAGTTCTGGAGCCTCCGTCTGATTTAAAGAGATTGATATACAAGATAGTAGAATTAATTACGAAATATGGAAAGCAGTTTGAGGCAACTCTTCTGGAGCAAGATTTCAATAAAGAGAGATTTCTTTTTCTTCTACCATCAAATCAGTATCATCCTTACTACTTAAAAGTCCTCCAAAAAGCTCAAGAGGTGTGCTTCTCTTCTGTAATTCCCTGTTGCCCATGAACTTACATGGATATCTTGAATACTATATATCAAAAGTGTCTGACCTTTTTGTAATTTTCTTGAACTGCTGTGTGTATGTTTAAGGCAAATGAGACGCTAAAAGAACCTCTTGATGGTAATATCATGATTCTGTGTTGTCATCGTATTGGAAATGTGTGAGTTTGATACAAGCAAAATTAACTTATTCATGCTTATGCTGCTGTCAAGTTTTTCTTTTGCCTTACATAATCTGCATCACTCTTCTAGTTGATACTTGTATTCTGAATGTTAAGAATATCATTTCTAATCATGTCAATTACTTTCAAGTTTTCTTTGTTTGTTTTGCACAAGGACCTGCATTTCATTGTTTTCCTTAAATAAATTTCTCCTTTGCCTTTTATTGCAGAATATTTCACAATTTTGTCTTTGATTTTACTAGTGTTAACATATATATAGTTTTGTTAGAGCGGTTGGTGACCATTGAACTTGGTGGTAGTTCTACTCTTTAAAATTATGTACAACATTATATTCTGCTTGATTCTGAGAAAACACTGAACTATGTTTGAATTTTCCCTTGCCATAATGCCTACTGAATACAGTTGCATTGTATACACTACTGCTAACATTTCACGTGGAGAGAGCCTCTCTAAGTTTGATTTACACATCTCGTTGATTTTGTCACAATAGTTTGCGCTTTTCACTCTGATAATGCCCTTTTATTCCCTTTCAGTCGAAAGTAAATGGCAAGGGATTCCATTTTGGAAAAGATGACCCAGTAGGACGAGGGATGGACAAGAAAGCTTCTGTACTCGGGGAAGGTGATTTTTCGTTCTTAGATTGTCACAATCCATTTGAATTTGACAGGAAAGAGAAGTTTAAGATGACAATAGGTAAATCTAAGAAGGATGCACAGGAGACTGAATGCAGAGGAACACAGCAAGAATTTGGAGTCACTGTAGATGCTGCTTCTGCCGCCGCTATTCTTCAGGCTGCCACAAGAGGCATCAAGCATCCCAATTTGGGAATAATTTCAAGCACACCTCTGAATGTTTATCATGGCCGTAGCAGTGATGATAATCAGGCTACGAGTTTAGGCACTCTCCCTTATTCTCAGCCGCATGGCATGATTGAAAAGTCTGATAGGAATGAAGGTCATAATGTTTCTGGTCCTGCGACCAAGACAATTGCTAGAACAGCTGCTCTTGAAGCTGCTGGTGAGGCTGATTCTTCTGAGGCACACCTGACCAAGGAGCAAAAGCTGAAAGCTGAGAGGCTCCAAAGGGCTAAAATGTTTGTTGCCATGTTGAAAAGTGGAGCTGTGCCTTACAAAACTGGAACATCGCGAGGCTCGTCATTAGAACCTCAAGAATTGGGTCTCACGAAATCTGCTGGTGAGGTGAATCTTTCCGGTAAACAACGAGAAGGCAGCTCTGCTCCTGTAGATTTAAATAAGCTGGCTACTGATGAAAAGCCAGAGAGGGATAATTTTGCTGCGGAGCATATTGGGCGAGTATCAAGAAGGAAGTATAGATCAAGATCTGGGGAGGACGAGGACGAGGATGAAAATGGAGAAAAAAATGCACATAATGAAGGGAAACCAAGACGGAAGTACAGGTCAAGGCCTGGGAGACACGAGGAGAATGATGTAAATGGAGAAGAAACAGAGATGAAGCACTCAAGGAGGGAGCACCGTTCTCATTCTTCTTCTCTGGAAGATGGAGAAAAAAGTGAAGAGGACAGGGAACGCGAGCGCTCAAAAAGGAAGCACCGGTCTCGTATTTCACCACAAGGAGAAGATGACTATGAAGACAGGGAGAGGGAGGAAAAAGATCGTAAACGATCTAGGAAGAAGCATCGATCTCACCATTCTTCTAAACACTCAAGGAAGAGGCATTCATCCAAGCAGCATTCATGTGAAGAAGAGGATGAAGAAGATGAAGAGGAAACGCACAACAGGCACTCAGGGAAAAAGCACCGTTCTTCACACCATAGCAGATGCAGTCGTAGGCACAAAGAAAGGTATTCTTTGAGAGAGAGAGAATCTCGAGACTACACCAAGGAAGATGGCTCTTCTGATGAAGAGCATCAGCGCTGTAATATCCCAGATAAACATAAAAAGGGATCTGACGTAGAAAGAGATGAGTTGGAGGAAGGTGAGATCAGCTCCAAAGCTTCAGGTGATTCTAGAGGAATTGCTAGCGCCCATGTCAGTAGAGAACCTTCACTTGATGCATCAAATTTGTACCAGAGGGCACCATCATCTCAACCTCAGGAAGCAATGACTGAGGTCTCGGATGATCTTAGAGCCAAAATCCGTGCAATGCTGATGGCAACGCGGTAGTAACTTCGTTTCCATCAAGATTGGTAAAATTGAATGGAGATGTAATAACAACAGAGAGATGCAAAACAAAAATATTTAAAAGTTGCTTCAAAATTGTAAACTTGTAAAATGTTGTTGTCCTTGTTTACGGAAAATCAAAATCAATCTGTGCTTCAATATTTTCCATTTCCGTATTATTGATATGTTCATAATTTTCTCCCAAAGGTAATTTATGTCGTCAAAGTGTAGTCTTGATGAGTTTTCTAATGTTTTTAATTAGATGAGTTGACGCTAAGTTTGGTTACTATAGAAGAAAATTTGAAATGCGATTAGACATTTGGAGACCCAATATCTTGAAAAGCTAAAGGCAAAGGAATACATGATAATGTACATTCAAGCAAGACATAAAGCTTGACCATACTTTTCCCTTTCTTGTCCTAAGGATAGAAACGAATTAATCTCATCTATCGCGTCCTTCTTTTGTGTGGATCCCATATGTTCAAACCAATTCTTCTATGTACCTCTCAAGTATCCAACATCTAATTGGTAAGAATGCAAGACAACTAATGAACAACACATACGCTGCGTTAGTTCGATTCCCGTTGGAGCTGCTTATTGGCCTTCTTGGTTTGAGCCGATCAGCTATGGGTAACCTAGGCTGGTTTACCTCCTTGTGGTCCTTTGTCGGCTAGGACCACAAGACGGGGTTTACCTAGTGCACACCTTCGGGTAGCAGCTGCGGGTTCCCTTGTCAAAAAAAAAAAAAAAAAAAAAAAAAAAAATTTGTGTTGTTCTAGTAAGTTGGAAAACTATGATACTAGACCTTTAATGAAATTTTATGTTCATTATTCCTCAAAATTAGTCGTTGAATTTAAATTTTGTTAATTTAAATTACTAAATTTAAACAGTTTAATCTTTTAAACATATTAGATCTAGTATCTTGTTCACATTGAGCATTATAATAATTGTCCATTGCTGACGTGGTGTTGTCATATCAGTAATCAAGTCGTATTTTTTGACTTCTCAAAAGAAAAAAAAACTTTGACCTACTAATGTAGTCTCTCTTGTTCCACTAGTTAGGACCAAATTCTCACATGTTTGTTCATTATTACAACGTTCTTTTTTTATGTCAATCCATGTTGTTTGGAGACCTGGATAGGGTGCTTGCCTGTGAATCTTTCAATATGGGAGTTGGAAGAGAAATTCCTGGTTCTTAAACTGATAATTAACTTAAAAAAGAAAAAAAAGCATAAAAAGCGAAGAAAATTTTGTCGCTTAACATCAACAGGTGAACATTATAATTCCTTTCCGCGATAGGAAGGAGATTGTTTCTATTATGCATATAGCGAGTTTTGAGTCTTCAAAACTATCCGTTGCTTGCCTTCTTTGCCACTACTTCCTCCAATCGATGGTAGCTGGATTGATTTTATGCCACTTTTCGCTTAATTTCCGAATTCCAATACCTTGCAAAAGCAGTAAAGCGCGCCGCAATGCGTTAAAAGCGTGAGTTTTTTCATTTTGGTTGTAGATTCCGTAGTAGCGATGACAGAGGCTTTATTCCCAGCTAAGCTATGCGCCGCCGCCCACGGTCGGCTAAACCCTTTCAAGCCTCTCATCTTTCGCCACCCTCGTGGTTCACTTACAACTCGAGAATGCTTTTGAAAGTAACTTCACCACAGAGAAAAGCCACAATTTATAAATATAAACAATCTGTATAAAGAAAAGAAAAGAAAATGTACGGCCGTCGATGACAAAGATTCTCTGTATAAAGAAGCCGACAACAAACAATGAAGGCAACCCAATAAATTTGAGGGTATCAATTCCAAGATTACAGGCGTATAAATGTAGTCATACAGCCTTTCCTCTCTTCAAATTTGATCACTTATCTTGTAGTTTCAATGGAGTGGAAAAGGGGTCCCTTAATTGGCCGGGGCTCCTCCGCCGTGGTGTCTATCGCCAGCACGGCTTCCGGCAAGCTTTTCGCTGTGAAGTCAACTGATCTTTCTTGTTCTAGCTTGCTGCAGAAGGAGAAATATTTGATTTCTATGCTTAGTTCTCCTTATGTAGTTAAGTGTTTGGGTTCTGATGTTACGTGTGAGAATCAAAGGCCTGTATATAATCTGTTCTTTGAGTATGTATCCGGTGGCACACTTTCTGATCAGATTATAAAGCAGGGAGGTTCTTTGGGTGAGTCCTTGATTCAATTTTACACTCATCAGATGCTTGAAGGATTGAATTATCTTCACGTGAATGGATTGGTGCACTGTGACATCAAGGGTCAGAATATTTTGATTGGCAAAGATGGTGTCAAGATTGCTGATTTTGGCTGTGCCAAATTGATGCAAGAAGGTGGTGGTTCTTCAAAGTCAGCATTTTCCGGTACTCCGGCGTATATGGCGCCAGAGGTAGCTCGTGGCGAAGAGCAAGGATTTCCGGCCGATATTTGGGCTCTTGGGTGCACAATTATTGAAATGGCAACTGGATTACATCCATGGCAAGAAATGGAGGACCCTGTTTCTGCTCTTTACAGAATTGGATATTCCGGTAAGGCACCGGAAAATCCAAGCTGGTTGTCTGATAATGCTAAAGAATTGCTCACCATGTGTTTCATGAAAGATCCAAATGATCGGTGGACGGCCGCGCAGCTTCTAAAGCACCCCTTTTTCCACACCATGGAGGAGAATTTTGAATTCACCAGAAAAACTCCTACTAGTGTGATGGATCAACGCTTTTGGGATTCATTGGAATCGACCGATTCTTCCCCAAACGCGACCCACATATTTTCGTCTTCGAATTCTCCGGCCGACAGGATCCGGCATTTGATTACATATGGAAATTCAAGTTTACCAGATTGGGCAGGAGGAGGAGACTGGTTGACAGTCAGGTGCAGCCAAATTGAAGAAATTTCAAATCCTACATTTTCTAGCTCAATCGAAGAAGATATTCAAACATCAATTCTCATTGAGGATTCATCATTTGATTGTTTCAGTGATTATATTAGGATTATTGAAAATATTCTTAGTATTAAGACATTCTTAGTAACAAGTGAGGAGAATGTCAAAGATGTTTCTGCATCAACAATTATTTATTTTCTAAGAATGTTAATGGAATTAGTCTCTCTGATTCAAATCACATTTCTTACAAATTCTTATGCTTCATTTTGTACTATTTTTCTTGTCCTTCCCACGGAGGCAGTGGAGGGTCAAGACCGAAGGAGACTTGAGTCCGTTAATACAACTAAAACTTGAAAATTAAGTCTAAGAATAATGTTATTTACCATCATGATGATAAAACATAGGTAATGTGACAACCCACAATCTTCACATTTCTCACTCTTGAGACCATCTCTCCTCCCCCCCCCCTCTCTCTCTCTCTCTCTCGTAAAAATTGAACTATCCAATCCCATTATTCCATGTAAACTACCACATTACCAATGTTTCAACATCATAATGATAAATAACATTATTTTAAGTCTAAATTATTGAGCGTTGATCATAGCACGTATCGAATTTTCAACATGAGAACTCAAAATTTTGAATTCGTTTTAAGCAAATTTAATCATTCAAATGTTAAAACCCAACAACCCATATCGACTTTTGAGGAAATTTCACAAAATGTCCATTTTTATTTAGCCATTTGCAAAAATGTCCACCATTGTAAAAATATCTAATTTGTAAGAATTTAGACCAAAATACCCTTATTAACAATTTATAATTCTATACTGAGACAAAAAAATGGACATTTTTGCAATATTATTATTGGCCAATAAAATTTTGACACATAACCTGCCATATTTATTTCAAAAAGGATACATGTTAAATCACAATAAATGTTATGTTTTTCATTGATTTAGAAATGTTGAGAACAACATTTTTAAATGTAGAGAAATGTAATGTTCATAATGAAATGTCATTCTAGACAAATGAAATAGTGTTCAAATGTCGAGAATGACACATGAAATGTCGAAAAATGTTATTTTAATGTAGTTTCTTATGAAAGTCACTTCTCAAAATTCGTGACAAATTGATAAAAAAATCAAATGCCGAGAATGACATTTAAAATGTTGAGAATACCATTTCAAAATGTAGATTTTTATTAAGGCCATAATAGACAAGTTAACACTAAATTCAAATGAGTTGACACTTTTCAACTCATACCCTTAAAATTGGACATACTCAAAAACGCCCCTTGATTTTTTTGGATTAATAGCAATAAATCTCCTTGGAGACGTTTTCATATGCGATATACTCACTACCTATTGGAAATCATAGAAAACCTCCTTATTTGAAATCTTTTGTACGAAAAACCACATGTCATCAAGATTTGTTAGATAAAAGAAAGTAAAAAATGCCAAAATTGAAAAGGAATAATTGCAATTTCAACTCTCAAACTACTTTTTTTTTTTTAACAAATTAAATTCAAAATTTTTATATGTGCCACCTACAATTCCAAATCTTTAAAACTTCAGTTTCCACTCCACCACACTTCATTTTGTTCCCCAAAAGCCTATTGAGACTCCATCCAAATTAAAATTAAAAGGGATAAACTTTGTAATGACCGACAAGAGCTAAGGCCATCTTCAATTCTACACCAAATTTTGTATCAAACTAAAATTCATTTCCAACCATTACACCAAAATTTATACCAAATGAACAGTGTTTTATTATTTTATTCATTCTTTCGATTTTTGACAATGTATTTATTTAAACAAAAATTATTTTTTATTTATTTTATAACTATATAAATTACTAAATCATAACTACGTTAAATTAACAAATATATTAAATTATAATTGATTACTAAATTATTCACATGTTTTAAATATTATGTTAAATTGATGAAAATAATTGATTATATTATTAATTCACCATAAATAATTACATTAAATCGAGGACAATAATTACTAAATTAAAAAATCCTTAATTATTATTGATTATATTATAAAAAAACTTCAATATATATATTTTTTTAATAAAGGCTCGCGGGCTCATCGACCGGCTCGAGCAAAGCCTGTGT